CATTCCTGATCCTATGATCTTGTAGTGAACATGCTTTGCCTCATTCTGTTGGAGCCAGGCTCCTATATATTCCCCTCAGAAATCTGGGAAGTAACCCTGAAGTGCTACAATATCTCTTCTCTATTGCCATTGGCTTGAGCTCCCAATAACTGTGTTCCTTCCATTATTAGGTTCCAGTTCCATTTAACTACCCAACATTAGCTTTTACAAAGGAATAACTGCTTCAAAGATATAAACAAGAACAAACATAGAGACATTTTACCCCAATACCTCAGGGGCATAATTTCTCCTATATCTTCTTGGTCGCTGGTGCAAGTAGGCTCAACTTAGCTCAGTTCTTATGTAGTATTGGTCCCACCAAGGTCATGTCCAAAGGTGGCATCTCTACTGGATAAGTTCTCATCTCAGTTGTGGCTGGGATGAGGTCACATAGGTCTCTTCCAAACATCACTCCTTGTTCCTTAGGGCATCGACAGTATACAGCTCTGGAAACCAGACTGTAATTATGGAATACTCTCCTGACCTTCAGATCTCACAAGGTTGGAGGTGCCAATTTCTTTCATATCAAAGGAATAAATGCAAGAACTAAGGACTGAGGCCTCTTTCTTAAGTTCCCATGGCCTTGGAAAGGGAAAAAGCCCCAAGCATTTTCCTCTTATATCATTGTCTCTCACTAGATGCTGTAAGCGAAGGGATCACATCACCAGAGTATGACTCTATTGAGCATGACCAAAAGGGTCTAGGTCAAGATTAACAGGCCTTTTTGAATGCTTCTATATTCAATCAAAGAGCCTCCTCTTCACCACATGGTCAACAAATCATAACCAGTTACAGAATATCCAGACATATTCCATAGGCTCTCCAAGATACACATGTCTCTAATGGAATGACTCTAATAGAAGCAGGCTCTTAGCCTCACCATTCAGATGCCAAACTCTATATATGTGCCAGGACCAGGCTCCCATTACAATCTACTCCATAGATGATTTGAAGCTCTCACTTTGCCCATTAGATATACACATATATGTACATATGCATATATATATACATATGTGTTTTCATACAAGGTGTCCCAAAAGGCTTTAAACTACACTAAGACTTTTGGGATATGGTACACACACACACACACACACACACACACACACACACACACACACTATTTACATAAATATATAGTGTGTATGTGTATATGTATAGCTGTATATATAATTTCTATGTATATATGCATATTTTATTTCTTATATACATGTGTATATGAATATTTTATTTATGTATATACTTTTTATATACATGCTATATAAATGTATATATACATGCATATACATATTTAACATGTGTATATATACATATATATCACCAAAATCACTTGAATATATTTATATATGTGTGTGTATGTATGTATATATGTGTGTATGCATGTGTGTCTTTGTGTGTGTGTTCAAATGATATTGGAGATTTCTCAGAGATAACTCTGGGTGGCAGCAACATAAGCTAAAAAACATAGAGTGAGTTGGGCAGTGAGAGAGTTGTCTATCTATATGAACGGACCCTCCCAAAACTCACTCCTTTTGGGGGAGGGGAAGATTGGGGGCAGGGGAGACTTATGTTGCCTTTACCCAGAGTTGTCATTTGGAAATCTCAGGATGTCACTTGAATAATGCTCATGTCTAAGTCTTCACAAATGTGGACAAAAGGGTATCCAGTTCCTTTGCAAAGTAACAACACATCCGTTATAGAATAGCTTGTATCCCAACCTAAAGAAAATACACAAAAGACATAAAGGACTCATGTTAGCCCAATCAATGCAAAATTTCCTTCTCCTTTGAGGTCTACTTTTCCCTAGGATTTTGAAGTTCTCTCTACTTATAGCTTCGCCATTTGGTTTAGACTCCTATCAGAACGGCAGTAAATTTGGGGTTCCTAGGGAGGCAATTCCCCAAAATTTCTAGTGATAACAGTTTCACATAAGAAATCCATATGCAAGCATCCAGTTATACCATATTACTCTAAGGGGCTTGGAACACTTTCTAGAAGGAAACAAAAGATAACATGTGTGAATCACTTGAGACAAACTACTTTTGATATGGTTTAATTTTGTGAAAGCAACGGTCATGTGTGTGTGCTTCTACAGATATTAAGCTAACTAAAAAAATCTGAGCTTGGCCTGATGAAACCGGGTAAAGCTGGTTTCCTGACCTTTTAGTTAGTTCTTTGTCAGATGAGTACTGGATTTCATGTTATACACATGTGCTTAATTGATCTCTTTTGTTGTATTTTTAGCTGTGTGGTTTTTAAGAATGGCTATTACTCCAAAAAAAAAATGCAAAAGTTATGGCTCTTAAAGAGCATAATTCAATGACCACTAGAGATCTATCAGTGGCTCTTGGTCTGGGAAAGTCAAATGTTTCAAGGAATTCAAGCCCACAATGAAACAGCATTAGTCCCACTGAAACACAATGGTAAGAGCAGTTGAAAATGGAAAAAAAAAAACCTGAAACTCAAAGAACTGACAAATTATGGTGGCAAAAATAGCCTCATTAATACTCAGGGAAAGGGAAAGAAAGTAAGATCTTCAAAGGGTCCTATCAACCAGATTATTATTGATTCTTCTGCAATGTGGCTAACATTTCTTAAATTTGAAGAAACTGTGAGAAGAAAACCAGCAGCTAATTTCTATGAAGAAAAAATTCTGGTTGTGGACAAGACAATGCAAAGACCAGACTGAATATTGGGAAAATGTACTAATGAAACTCACTTTTTCATTGAAGAGTATACCAAAGCTATTGCCAAGAGTTCAGGTAAGTGTAGGATCTGGGTATTATTACTACTCTGTAAAATATCTACCCAAAAATGTTTTGGGAATTTTGTGCTTCCAGGGAACCCAGAAGTCTTGCCCTCTTTGAAAAAATGATGAACTTGGAAAAACATAATGATATAGTGGGGGGTGGGGGAGACCAGAATTGTTCCAAAATTACAAAATTCCTAAGTGGAAATGGAATACTGCAATATGGTCTTACACCATGCCATTATGTCATAAAAGGTTAAGACACGTAGCTAAGAGTTGGAGATAAACATGCTTCAATAATGCATCTTGATTATAGCCTATGTAATATAATCAAAGTTAGACTTGTTCTGTTCATCAAAGGTACACTAATATCCAGTGTGACAAAACTTCTTCATAATGAAGAAAGAATATGTATCAAACTCTTATAATATAAAAAACAAGTGACCAGCAAAAGGAGAACATATTGCATATTAAAAGCCTTTTAAAGATGTAAAAAGGTTATTGAATGTCAATATACTTATTTTTCTTTATTGTACTTAATTTGTACATTATTATATACATATAACATATATGTATGCATATATGTCTCTATTATATATATCTAGATTTGTATGGTTTTTCTTTTAAAGTGTCCAGTGAGTAGTCAAGACAATAGGCCCTATAGCAATTTGGGATAGAAAGCAATCACTGAGGGCTGAACCTATAAGGAAGATGTTATGAAGGAATTGAAGGTCAAATTAGACCTTAAAAGAAGTTTGTGTAGCCCATGAAAGCTCTGAGAATCTTTATCCCACCTCCCACTCCTATTGATGAGTTTGATCTCCAGAGCTAGGTTAGCTGTCCTTACCCCTTTTGGTTTTAGGAGTATTTCTAAGGGATTCTGGTGATTCTCTAATGCCACTTGCTCAAGCCCCTACTGATGTACTGTTCTTCAAGATTATCGGCTAAGAATCAGTTTGGTCAGCCAGACTTAAGTAGCTTTTAGAAAGGGATATTTGCTAAAGTTGTATGAGAACATTTGTACCACTGACGTGGTATGATTGAAACAAATACAAGACTCCCCAGCTCTCACCCATCTGCAAAAGTCTGTGACACCTTCTCCTTCAAGTATATATGAAGTCCAGAGTAAAGGGGGCTAAAGCTTAGAGAACACATGTGGTCAATGTGTAACTCACACAGCTCCTGGTAACTAGAATTTCTTTTCTCCATCTTATGAAGTTCTCAAGCATGGTGAATTTGTATCCAGTTTATCCTTGATTCCCAACACAGACACTGCTGCCAGGAATGTCATTATCTAAGAGTATGCTGGAGCCAACTCTAACTAGCTGGGAAGAGTGGATTGTTAAATTTTCGATATAAGCATTTATACCTCAGAAATCAGCAAGCACTACAATCACAGCTTGGTTTATTGTTTTGTTGATTTCCTAAATTTATGGAAATGATGGAAAAAATGTCAATAATGTAGGCTAAACTTAAAAGTGTGTTGTGTACTTTTTCTTTTGTTTTGAGATTTAAACATTTACCAGCACACCCCTGCTCCAGGCCCTTTGAAGCCAAAATGACCTCCTCCAGTAAAAGGTGTAAAGCAAGGAGACCTGGTCAAGGCTGAAGCTGACCTCTCTCCTTCTCTTCCTCCTTCTTCCCCCTCTCCCAGCAAGTTCCCTTTCTTGGGATTCAGTTAAAATTACTCATTTTAGGACTTCACACTTTGTTCTATAAACTATGCAGTCATTAAACTTTTTGAGTAGGCATATAACAAATACAAATAGTGTTTTCGAAGGATTAATCTAATAGCCATTCCTAGGACAAATTAGACAAGGAGGGACTAGAGGCAAGAAGATGGATCAGGAAATAATTGCAATAGCCCAGTTGTAAGGACCTTCTTGGCCTATGGTAGGAGCAGTGGGAATATAATGAGAGGCAAAAATGTAATAAACATTTTAAAGGAAGAATCAATAGCACTTGGTAACTGGTTGTAGATAAAGAAATAATCAAGGATGACTCTTAAAAGGTTGAGCCTGATTGACTGACAGAAAAATTGTACCATTGATATACTCAATCAATATTTATGGCACTCCTATTCTGTGCAAGGCACCATGAGGAAATTTAAAAATAAATAGGACATGGGGCAGCTAGATGGCACAGTGGATAGAGCACTAGCCCTGGGGTCAGGAGGAACTGAGTTCTAATTCAGCCTTAGATACTAGCTGTATAACTCTGGGCAAGTCACTTAACCTCAATTGCCTAAAAAACAAAAAGACATAGTCCTTACTTACATCCTTATACTGGAGATAAAGACAGGGACTAGATCTGTGGCAGGACTTAAATGGAAGTCTTCTTGGCTTCAAAGACAACTCTCTCTCTCTCCACCATACCAGGTTGCCTTAGTAGAGGAATTAAAATATACAACCTGATAATGTAGTACAAATTAATTTTCTTAAATAACTTGCTAACCAAGTGTAATGAAGCTCTCAAACAACTAAATAGAATTTTAGGGCATTGGATGAGAGCAACTGAGGAACACAGGTCACTTCTAATGATTGGCTAGAAAAATCAGCCATGTCACTTGTAGCCCAGATAAAAGTCAAAATGATTCTACTCTATGCCATTCAGCTCTGAGGAGAGACTTGGCCGTGGAGTTTGCTCTTCACATTTTCCTCTGTGTTCCTTGAAGAGTAGAACCAAGAGTAGAAGATGGGGTTTCTTTTTTCTCCTCCAATCCACTGCCAATGATGCCTTGAAGCAAAAGCACAGAACAGCATAGAATTGAGCAAAGTAGACTTTGTAGACCAATCAAGTCAAACTGGTGAGAGACATTGAGATATACTTACAACTGTTAAATCACTCAAGAGATGGCAGTCCCCAGAGCCAACACTCCTTCTGGTGTCCTGATATGGGTTCTGGTTCCTTCTGAAAGTTCATTGTAGTACCCTGGGCCAGAATTTTGGCTGAGCATAATGAAGATGGTAGAAGATGAAAATGAAAATATGGTAGAGAGCATGATCAAATACTGAAACCAAGTTTCCAGCCCAAAAGCAAGCCCAGGGGAACTAGCAAGAAGACTCCTCCAGCAGAGATGGATAACAACTCCCAGAAAGTTCATCTCTCACAATTTACTGTTCATTCACCTATACTCAGGGAAAGGAACATAAAGCAAAGCGAGCAACCAGGAATGTGAGGAGCCTTGTGAGGAGCAGTGCAAGGATATTATGAGGATATCAAAAAGTAACCATGAAAGGTTGATGAGTTATGTAACTGAACATTCCCTTGGTGTGGTGCCCTCATGATTGATCTGTTTGTACTGGCCCACTCTCCCCATTGGTGTTGTATGTGTTTGTGTACATGTGTATATGTATAAGCTTTTGAGGGAGAATGTTGCATTGTAAATCTTCTTACTATGCTATTGCAGGAAATTGCTTTGCTTTGCACTAATTGAATCTTCTATTGAAAGATAAATATATTGGTAGGAGATTATTCACAATAATTTTAGGAGTGTGGACCCACAGAATATCTTTAACCTTAAATGGCTATCCCCCAGGGAAACCCCTCTGCAAGTTGGAAGCGTAGCCAAGCCAAAGGAGGTGATCCACATATAGTTATAATTTTAAAAATATAGAATGTAAGAATACAATAAGGCACAAAGTGTTATGAGTTGACAAGAGGAAGAGCTTATTTCTGGCAAAGATCATAAGATCATAGATTTACCAGAGGTTCCCAACCTTATTTGGCCTACCACCCCCTTTTCAAAAAAAAATTTATGGGAGAGGATTCTGGGAAGATGGTAGAGTAGGTCAGAAAATTTCGAGCTCTCAAAATTTTCCTCCACAAAAGAGATAAAATAGTGCTTCAGGGCAAACAAAGAGCAAATAAGAGTAGGGGCAAAAGAAGAGTTCTCCAGAGACAACTGGAGAAGTTCTGAAGAAAAATACTGGACAAGATTTCCTCCCAGTGAAGAGTAAACACCTCCAGGCTAGGGTCTGCTTCAACAAGTGGCAAGCTGCTTAAACAACTAGCAGCAAGCCCTAGGGTTAGCTGGTTTGGGAGGCTGCCTTGGCCCAGCCACAGGAACTTTTACCCTCAGGAACAGTGAGGCATCTGACCTGGAGAAGATAGTGGGAAGCCTCTTCTGACAAGGAACCCCAGACCCAGCTGTGTTGTGGAGACATAGTGGGGACAAGAAGGAACCAGCACACTCCTGGTGAGAGAAGCAGTGGGGGGATTGGGGGGAGGGGGGACGCCTCTGATGTGAGCACTTACAGGAGGCTGGAGGTCTTGGTTTGAGTTCAAGGTCAGAATGGTGAACTGAAGAGGATTAGAGGCAACAACCCCTATACTCCAGGACTAGAGGTGATTATAAAAACTAAATTATTACCAAAAAAAAATGCACAGGCAAAGGAGAAAGAATCCAACCATAGAGAGCTATTATGGGAATAGAAAAGATCAGAGTTCCTCTCCAGAGGAAGATATTGAAGCAAAGAAATCCTCTTTTACCCCAAAGAGTAGTGTCAAATGGTCACTTGTCCAAAAAGAATTCATTGAAGAACTTACAAAAGACTTTAAAAATCAAATGAGAGCGACTGAGTGAAAACTAAAGAGAAAAATAAGAATAATGCAAGAAAAACAAAAAGATTATGAAAAGAAAGTCAACCAATTAGAAAAGGAGATCTAGGAGGCTCTTAAGGAAGAAAATGACTCCTAGAAAATCAGAATTGGGCAAGGGGAAGCCAACGAAGTTATAAGACATAAAAAAATTTTAAAAAAATCTCATGAGAAAAACAACAAATTTAGAGAACAGATCAAGAAGAGAAAACATAAGAATAATTAGATTACCTGAAAGTTCTGATCAAAAAAAAGAATCTTGATACAATAACACAAGAAATAATTAAAGGAAATTGTCTTGAAGCAGTAGAACAAGAGGGAAAAGTAGAAATAGAAGAAATCTACTGATCACCACCTGAAAGAGATCCTATGAGGAAAACTCACAGGAATGTTATAGTCAGATTTCGAAACCCCCAGATCAAGGACAAAATATTATGAGTAACAAGAGAAAAACAATTTACATATGGTGGCACCACAATTAGAATCACACAAGACCTAGCAGTGGGTGCACTAAAAGATCGAAATTCTTGGAACACTGTATATCAAAGAGCAAAAGAACTGGGCTTCTGGCCAAAAATATCATACCCAACAAAGCTTAGCATAATTCTGAATGAAAAAAAAATTGACATTTGATCAATTGTCAGACTTTCAGGTCTTTATTAAAAAACAAACAAACAAAAACAAAAAAACCCTGAACTCAATAGAAGATTTGACATACAAGAGAAATATAAGATACATACCAATGACCAATTACAAGGGACTAAATAAGTATAGAATGTTTACCTTTTATGTATGAAAAAATAAAACCTATGTCTAAGATTGTTACTAGTAATTAAAAACTAATACAGAGAAATTAGATGGGGGAGGGAGGCTGATAGTTTTGGAAACCTACTCTCATCAGGAATAGATTTAAGAGGAGAAAATACACATTTAGAAGAGTATAAAAGTCTTCTAAATTAGAAAAAAATAAAACTCTAAGTGGATAGGAAGGGTGGAGAGGGTAAAGGAGTGATCTTTAGAGGAAGGGTGTGGAAACAGGTTAAAAGTGGGACATAGAAGGGGGTTTAGATTTAGGGGAATGGGAGGATAAGGGAGGGATTGATGGAGTGGGGGTAGGTTGAGTAATAGGAGAGTAAAGTATCAGGTAGAAGTAAAGTAGAGGAGTTAGGAGAGCTAGAAAAAAAATAAAGATATATGCACAAACATAAAAACAAAGATGAGGAGTAGAATCTCTTAGGGAAAGTATATGTAGATATGTATGTATGTATGTGTATATATGTATAAGTGTATGTATATATCAATACCTATATATAAATATATCCAATGCTCAACTGTAGCCTTGGGGTGATGGGTAGGGGGGGAAGCGAGGGGAAAAAAAACAAAGTAAAAAGTGTACAGCAAAGAACAAAAGAAAACCTACAAGAAAGCAAAGAAAAGATGGACAGTTTTCAACATAATGAACAATATTTAATGTATAGGCTTTCTTGAAATGACAAATTATTGCTATGTAATTTGAATCATCTATGTTCTAGTGTGCACATGACATTTTTGTTTTTTCTTATTTTATATTTAAGTTTATAATGTTTCTTTTCATATTATGTATTTAAGTTTTAGCATTTGTCTAAAAAAAAATTTACTCAGCACCCCCCCCCCCGGGAAATCTACTTTCTTTAACCCTTTAACTTTTTTAAAAATTTGTGTCATTTCAAAAAATAGAAAAATTTTTTAAATGATGCATCTTAAATTTAATAATTTATTTTAAATTTGTGGTGGGAGTTTCCTGCATTGAAATTTTGATGATGCAATATTGCATCACGTAATCATATAGTATCATATTGTAAACCAGTCATTACACGCACATATTCCTGCAGATGCATGCTGGACTTCCCCGCAGTGCTCTACACACTCACCTATCAACACTTGCTTGTTAAGACCTGTAAGTGGATATGACCACTGACCAGTTATAACTTGCATTTGTGTGATTATTTGGAAAATAATGTAATCACTATGACTTCAGCTCTGTTATACAACAGATGAAACATGTATGAACAGTTTTTCAAATTTTTCTTATCTTCTCTTCTTTCCTTATGCTTCTACTGCCCCCTTATTGCACCCAAGGCTACTATGGCTCCCCCTGCATCATTCCAGAGCCCCCCAGGGTGTGGCATTGCCCACTTTGGGAACCTCTAAAGAAGAGACCTTAGAAATTGTCTAGTCCAATCCTTTTATTTTACAGATAAAGAAACTGAGGTTGAAAGGTGAAGTGATTTGCTCAGTTACAAAGGCGTAACATCAGGATTTTAATCTAGGTCCTCAAATATAAAATGCTCTAGTTGGTTTTTAAACTCCTCTGATTAGTTTCCAGTAATGGGGGCTGCTTCCAAGATGATCAGTGATTCAGAGTCAGGAGGACTAAACTCTTTATAAACTCCAGTAGCGTCTTATTACCTCTAGAATAAAACAGAACTCCTATTGCATTTGTAAAGCCCTTCATGACCTGGACCCAATCTATCTTTTTAACTTCATTGTACATTACTCATCCCCAAGTCCACAATCTAGCCAAATTGGTCATCTCTCAATTCCTCACAAACAATTCCCCATCTTCTATCTCTATGACTTTGAACTAGTCATCTCCTATCCAATCCATCCTTACCTCTGTCTCGTTGAATATCTCTCTTCCTTCAAAATGCAACTCCAGTGCCATCTCCATGAAGTCATTCCTGATTCCCTCAACTGCTAGTGCCCTCCTTCCCAAAATACTGTGCATTTAACAATGTTTTATTTATTCTCTTTGTGCATTTTCTGTACATACTTATATACTCCTTTGTTGTCGCTTTATGCCTATTCTGTATATACTTAGTTGTCTCTTTAATTACAAAGAAAGCTTCTTACTAGTAAGGATTTTTTCATTTATTTTCAATCCCCAGTGGCTAGCATAGTTCCTGTATAGTATATGGTTGGTACTAAATAAGTGCAGGCTTGTTTGCTTGTTTGTCAGAATTGCTGCCCCATTCCTTCATAGTCTGTATAAAGGAAGCTATGAGACCCACTCAAGGGCTCTCTTCATCTTTAGGACTCCGTATTTCCCTCCTGCCTCCTAAGCAGGGTATTGAATGAAGTGATTTCTTTCTTCAACCTTCTTCAATTCCAGAATCAATTAATGGGGATTTGTAGCAGAAATACGTAACAGAGACATGCATGGACATGCCTGCTCAGTCCATAAGAATAATTCATGGATGATGTTTATGAATTCTCAAAATGTCTTTGGAGGTCAGGAGTGGGGAGAAGTGGGTTGTGGTATAGATTTTGAATTCCATAAGCACCATGCTCTCAGAATCTAGCCCTTCAGCCAAAGAAAGGAGATTTCTTGAGAAGGATCAGATGCGGGAAATTCCCCATGTTCAAAAGTTCTTGAGTTTGAGTTTTCAAGCACTGGTCTTTTTTAAAGAGAGAAAAAAAATTTTTTTCCACAGCATGGCACTTGGAGACAGAAGATCCAACAGAGAGTTGCCCTATAGCTTAAGAACCAAGGCCATGTTATAGGAAGCGATTGGTTCTCCACCTTGCCAACCCTCCCACCCCACCATTGCTCAGTTACTCACACAAGTCTAGTATGAAGCAAAGATTGCTTTTTCAGAAGCCTCCCAAAGTGTGTGTTCCTTCCAAGGGGAGTCTAATGATCAGTTTGAGTATTTTTCTCTGTATGTAAGCACCTGTAAGTCCTTGACATCTTGGGTATTGTGTGTGTGTGTGTGTGTGTGTGTGTGTGTGTGTATGTGTGTGTGTGTATGAAGATTCTCTCATACCTGATGCCCATGTTGTACACAGGATGCCGGTGCAGGATTTGGGGACCTTGCTACCCATGTTTGGGGAAACCTAGACAAGAGCCATATCATGAGCATATTCAGAGATTTTCCTAGAGTATGTCAGGTTGGAGCAATTGCCAAAAGGAATAATTGATCCTCCAGGGATCGGGCTCCCAGTGTCAGACCTGATCCATGTGAGTTTAGAAGCTTTGAGGAGCCCTAGTACATAGGTTACATATGAAAGGAGTAGTAAGAAATAAGGTTACAAAAGTAGATTGAGGCCAACTAAGAGAAGACCTTGAATGCCAAATCAAAGAATTTGGACATTATTAATAGGGAGGTATTATTTAATTTAGAAGAAGCTGGTGATACAGTGGATAGAGCAATGATCTTGGAGTCAGGAAGACGTGAGTTAAAATCCAACCTCAGATACTTACTAGCTCTGTGAACCTAGGCAAGTCACTTAACCTTTGTTCGCCTCAGTTTCCTCAACTGTAAAGTGGAGATAATACTTACATCTATCATGAGGTTGTTGATAATATTTGTTTAAAATAATGTTCTTAGCACAGTAACTGGCATCTAGCAGGCACTATATATACATGCATACATATACAATATATAATACATATATATATATATACATATACACATTATGTGTATATACATATATAGATATATTCCCTCCCTGGCAGTGGAGGGGCTATGAATTTTTTTTGAGCAGAGGGGTGCTTCAGGGAAATTAATCAGATATTAGATGTCTGGGGGAACAGAGAAACTAGAAACAGAGTGTTGAGCAGCAGTCACTGACCTTATAGTTAGGAAGTCAGGTTATGGTTCTACCTCTGCTTCTAATTCACTACATGACCCTGAACAATCCCTTAATATCTTGGGGTCTCAAGTTCTTTTTACGTAAGATAAGGAGTTTGAACTAATTTAACTCTATTGTCCCTTCCAACTCTAAAAATAATATAATCTTATAATTGATACTAAAGTTTCCTCCTGGTCTAAAACTGTGATGACGAAACCAGTAGAAGATCAGTGTAATAGCTTAGGTGACAGCTAATCAAGACCTTAACTAGGGAGGGACAAGTTAAAATGGAGCAGATGAGATAGAAAGAGGAGCTATTTTAGGGGTAGTGTCCCTAGGTGACTAAGAACATCTATCATTAACAGAAATATGGAAATCAGGAGGAATAGGTTTAGAGGGAAAGGTGAATTTTGTGGAAGTTGAGGTATTGCCAGAAGATCCAGGAAAAGATGTTCAGTAGATAGTTGAAAATGTAGTGATGGAGCTCAGTAGAGGTAAGGGCTAGAGTTATAGATGTAAGAGTCAGATGATGATGATGATGATGATGATGATGATGATGATGATGATGATGACAGTGCTGGTGATGATGATAGTCAAAGTTATGGGAGTAGATGAGATTGTCAAGGAAGGAAGCATGTAGACAAAAATAAACCTGAAGACAGAACCTTGTGTATAATTAGTCTAAGGAAATTCTATCCCTCCTGCTTATCTTCAGTTTTTACTGATCTCCTCTTGAGTTATAGGAGAAATTAGAGAATTCAAAGGTGAAAGTTTGGGTTGATTTGTGTTTTTCTTTTTTAACATTGTATATTAAAGAACAAATGACTATTAGAATTATATTTCAGTGATCAGTGTGCTGAGATTTTTCCTCAGTGAATTTAATTCTTTTATTATGTTTAATATAATTATAGACCCTACAGATCTTTCCTTTTACCATTTAACAGCAGACCCTGATGATGGGCCATGGTGTTGCCTCTTCCAGTGAGTAGACTTCTCACATGAGTAGACTTCTTGGAAGAGCCTAAACTCTAAATAGAAGGGTTAATCTTTTCCACCTGTGTTTTCTGGCCCTCACCCAGGAGCCTCACGGGGAAAAAATCACTTAAAGATAATCTAGGTTTGTCCAACCCAAAAAAGTAGATTAGAACTTTACCCAATGTGGAAAATAGATCAAGTACAAGACAGCTCTTCATTCATTAAGAAATGACTTAAAACACAAAATATTCCTAAGTGAGCATTGACAAAGATTGAGAACACAATACAATAGCTCGTAATTTATATGCTGTTTTGGAAAGGTGATAATTAAAGCACCAAGCATGCAATATTTTTTTAGGACACTGTAACAACCATTTTACCTTCATGTCAGCTCTGTCTTGTCGAAACAACTCCCTCAAGGTTCATGTTTTCTGTCAAGCCAGTCCAGGGCTTGCGTTCATTCTCCTGTGGATGGTCATTTTCTCCAAGAAACATTGTAGTAGCTATAGATAGGGAGGTACTTCCTACAGTGAAGCCAGCACTGATTGAGGACCTCTCACATGCTTAAGGTAACGACTCCCAGAAAGTTTATCCGTCATTATTCCTGTTTAGTCACCTATGCTCAGGGAAAAGAACATAAACCAGAGAAGGCAGCCAAGGACCTCAGGTTCAGGCTCAGGGTTGGCTAGGCAACACATATTCTAGATGCCATGTGCAAGAGACCAAGATAGGTGAAGGGAAAGTCCAAGGGAGAGCCTCACAGAATTCCTCACATGCTCAGCAAGCCAGAGGGACAGACTCACTCCTTTTAAGGTTAACTGAGTGGGGCATTCTTCATGGCTCACTAACCAATCCTCTTTGATACGTGACCTCATCATGAAGCAAGGTGAAACACTTGGAATTTTGTATGTCCTTTAGTAAGGGCTAACTGTGATTTTTGCTGCATCTTTACTCCTTCCTAGAGGCCAAAGTAGAAGTGCCAATGAGTCCACGCTTCACTCCCACTGAACCAGCTTTTAAGATAGCGCCTAACTACTTCCTGTTTTTTCCATCAAAGCCAAAGTACTATGGGAGTAGGAGTTGGAAAGGAATAAGCAATATTATAATGCCCAGTATCTGCCAGGCACTGTGTTAAATACTTTACAAATATTATTTCATTGGATCCTCACAACAATCCTGAAAGGTCGGTGCTGTTATGATCCTTATTTTATAGTTGAGGAAACTGAGATAAACAGGTTAAGTGATTTGTCCAGGGTCATACAGTCAGTAAGTATCTAAGATGAGATTTGAACTCATATCTTTTTTAAAATTAATTTATTTTTAGTTTTCAATACCCACTTCCATAAGCTTTTGATTTTAAATTTTCTCCCTCTCCCAACCTCCCTCCTCAAGATGGCATGCAATCTGATATAGGCTCTACATATACATTCCTATTAAACATATTTTCACATTAGTCATGTTGTAAAGAAGAATGAGGACCAGTAGGAGGAACCACAAGAAATAAGAAACAAAATAAAACAGAAGAGAAAAAAAAGAACAAATAGTATGCTTCAATCTGCATTCCAACTCCATAGTTCTTTCTCTGAATGTAGATAGCATCTTCCATCATGAGACTTTTGGAGATGTTGTAGATCCTTGCATTGCTGAGAAAAGCTAAGTCTATCAAAGTTAGTCATTGCACAATGTGGCTGTTACTGCGTACAATGTTCTCCTAGTTCTGTTCACTTCACTTCACTCAGCATCAGTCCATATAAGTCTTTCCAGGTTTTTCTGAAATCTGCTTACTCATCATTTCTTATAGCATAATAGTATTCCATTACATTTATACACCACAACTTGTTCAGCCATTCCCCAATTGATGGACATCCCCTCAATTTCCAGTTCTTCGCCATCACAGAAAGAGCTGCTATAAATGTTTTCATACATGTGGGTCCTTTTCCCATTTCTATGATCGTTTTGGGATACAGCCCTAGAAGTGCTTTTACTGGGTCAAAGGGTATGCACATTTTTATAGCCCTTTGGGCATAGTTCCAAATTGCTCTCCAAAATGGTTGGATCATTTCACAACTCCACCAACAATGCATTAATTTGAACTCATATCTTTCTGCCTCCAGACCCAGCTCTCCATCCCTTTTGCCACCTAACTACCTCAATGACTGGGTACATGCCCTAGAAAAGATCCAGGAAAACATCATCTTTCTTAAAACACTGAAAAGCAAAAGTGAGTTTCTGATTTATCTGAAAAGATAACAAATATATTAGTAAAAAAAAAAACAAAGGATTTCAAAAAATATATGTATATATTTAAATATGTACATATATGCATATATGTGCATATATACTGCATAGAATATGTACATATATAAGTATATGTGTACGTGCCTATGTGTGTCTGCACTTAATCAGTAGCTACTATAATAAAAATGCAATCCACCAAACCATCCTGCTGTGATTGGATGCATATGAGAGATTGGAAAGAATCCTATAGTGGGACCTAGAAATCCTGGATATATCATTGACTATGGGGTCATATCATGTAACTTATAATGTAACTTGTCTGGACCTCAATTTCCTTATTGGCAAAAGGAAGGGGATGGGCTAGATCAGGAGTTATTAACCTGGAATCCATGGACTTATTTTTTTAAAAAAAATTTTTTTGATATCTGTATTTCTCTTTGTAACCCTATGTATTTTATTTCATACATTTACAAACATTATTCTGAGAAGTCATAAAGTGCCTCCTTTTCACTAAGATGCAGTTCAGCCCTGCCTCTTACAAGAAACCTTTCCAGATCTCCCTAATCAAAAGAGCCATCAATCAAGCCACTTTGAATTTAAGTACTTTGTATTTGTTTTTCTTTATTTTCCTTAAATTTATTCTCTATATACTTAAACAAGGAGGCAAGCCTCGAATAATAGATAGAGAACTGGCCTCAGAGTCAACTTAAGGGTGGGAATGAAACCACCCACCTCATTTTAGCCATGATACCATAACTAGATGAGATCATAGACTTTATAGACTATTTACAAACAAGTCCTTTGAATTGGAGCATGTTGCAAAAGAATCATGTTTGGATAGGCTGAGAAAATGTGGCCACACCTGAAGGGTTGTCCATAAATTACCAAGCTAGTTTGAACTAGATTCATTTGAGAAGTTGGACTAAGAGGTAGCTTAGTTAAACTCATCACTTCTATCTCATCACTATGCTGCTAACTCAATCCCTGATTGACACGAACCTCCTTTGGCTACCTTTCCCCTCTGATTGGAGGGCTACAGTGTGGAGTACCAAACTCCTCTGAATATCTTCCTTTATAGAGGGTAGATGTTGGACTCTTAGATACCTCCATTCAGTGGCTGCTTCTCTGTCTGGTTTCAACTCCATGGAACAAGATGTCACCTGCCCAGAGTACCACCTAGTGCCCCGCTCCACTGTTTCCTGCCTACTTTTTTGTGTTGTGTCACCTCGTTAAACTTAAGCTCCTTGTGTATGTATGGGGGGTAGGATGCTTTCTTTTTATTAATTGTATCCCTAGCACTTAGCACAGTGTTGGTGCTTAATAAATGGTTATTGGATTAGATTTCTAGAACATCTCTGAGGTGAAGGGTGGGCTGGAGGGAAGCCCTAAGCATCTCCTTTGGCAAGCTTTAAGGAGTCTGAAGGATTCTGAACTTTCCATAGGTGTCCTAGCCAGATTCCAAGATCAACTGGTGACAGGATCTGCATTGGGAACCAAATCCAGGTAGACACAGATTCACCATACTTAAGAGAAAACTTCTTAAGCACCCTACAAATAGAGAAAAAAAAGAATTTCCAGTAACCAGTAGTTGTGAAATATCCTTTGGCCACATGTGCCCTTTAAGCTTGAGCCTATTTTCTCCTGGACTTTACACGTATTTGTGGGATGGACCTGTGGGGGATATTTCGTAGTGCCACCTTGGTAAATACTCCTTTCTAAAAGTTACTTAAAGTTGGCCGATTAAACTGATTCTTAACTGACAATCTTGGGGAAAGTACACTGGTTATACCTCAATCATTAGAGAATCACCCCTGCCTAATTCCTCAAAGGTATCACTTTAACACTGAAGGGAAAATGGAGCCAAGGCTAGGGACCTGAGACTCATCTGTGAGAACGGAGTTTGAAATATGAATTTTCAGAGCTTACATGAGGTATGGCAGGAAGACTTGTGTTCAAGGGTTCCCTCTGACACATATTGGGTGCATGACTGGACAAGACAATTAACCTCTCAGTGCTCTAGGTAGGCAGCTATCTAAGGCTATAAACTGTAGAGGTGTCAACCTGCAATGATACAGTCAGTTTCCTATATTCAGGAGCTCCCTATACCCAACATTGCTCCAATTCAAAAGACTTGTTTGTAAATAGTCTAAAGTCTATGATCATATCTAGTTATGGTATCAAGGTTAAAATGAGGTCAGGTGGTTTCATTCCCACCCTTACAGTGCTCTGAAGCCAGGTCTCTATCCACTATACCAGACTGCTACTCTATATTAGTATAAGCAGAACAAATACAAAGAAAATTAAAAAAAATACTTTTAAGATGTTGAAACATAAGATGGTTTGAGAGGGATGACCAGCAGTTGGATCAAGAAAGGCTTCATGTAGGAAGTAGTGTGTGAACTTTATCTTGAAGAATAGGAGGGATTAGATAGATAAATATCTCTCTCTTTCCATATATATATATATATATACACACACACACACATGTATGTATATGTATATATACATACATATATACATATAGAGTGTTTGCAAATATATATACATACACACATACATTCATAAACATATACACAGATACATACAAATATGTGTGTATATACTTAGTGTTTCCCTTAAGCTCCCTGAGAGTACTGTTTCACTCTTTGTATTTGAATCACAACACCCAGGCTTAATTAAGACCTTGTTGATTAACTGTTTGATAAGGGTAAAGACTGTTTCATATCTATCTTTATTGAAGCATCTAGTACAATAGCTGACACATAGTAGGTATTTAATAAAGGTTTGCCCCCAGGAGCAAATGCAAAATTTTCTGTTTGGCATTCAAAGCCTTTCATAACCCTCCTACCTTTCCAGTCTTATACCACCACATATTCTTCAATCCAGTGACACTGGCTTCCTGGCTGTTTCATAACCAAGACACACCATCTCTCAACTCCAGGCATTCTGTCTGGCTGTCCTCCACACCTGGAATGCTCTCTCTCTCCTCCACTCTGACTACTGACCTCCTCGGCTTCCTTTAAGTACCAACTAAAATCCCATCTAACTATAGGAAGCTTTCCCCAACCCCTCTTAATTCCAGTGCCTTTCCTCTGCTAATTATTTCATATTTATCTTGTATATAGCTTGAGATATATACATATTTGTTTTCTTGTTATCACCCCCCAACAGATTATAAGCTCCTTGAGGGAGGGACATTCTTTTTTTTTTTTATACTCAGTACTTTGCACAATGCCTGGCAAATCATAGGCACTCAATAAAGGTTTATTGATTAATTAAGCACCTACTACATGCCAAGCACTAGGTTGAGTGCTGGGGATACAATAAAACACAAAAGACAGTCCCTGCCCTCAAGTAGCTCAAAGTCTAACAG